CATCTTAAAAAGAGATCCTCTCTCACAGAATAGGATGTTCACAATAAAAAACTAGAAAAAAAGTAAAAACAAAAACAAAATCACAACACCACAAAAGCGCTGGAGATATAGGAGATGAAAAAAAACAAAAAAAGGAGAGCTGACACGTGAGACAAAATCAGAGAGGACATATTTTCAAAACCACAAAAAAAATGAAAAACACATGTGTGGGGTCACACACTCTCAAAATATACACAGATATTCTCGTACACTATACGCGTGCGGTGCGCTCTCGTCTCTACACATCTAGAAAATAAAAGACAAAAAAACAAAAAACCCTCACAGATATAAAAACCGATATACCCAGAACACCGAAAAGTGCCCAGACAAAAACAAGAGTGGAAAAATGAGAGAGAGCACACAGAAAGATAACACTTGCACACAATAGAGCTCAAAAGCAAAAAAAAGAAAAGGCAAAAGAAAAAATATAGAGATAACAGATATTTATAGACACAGATCTGTGAGAAAACAGGGTTGGGGTGTGCAAAAAAAGATCCCTAAGGCTGCATCCCAGAAATAAGCACACGTGTCCAAATAGCCCTAGAATGGCTGAAAAATAATTCTGGCTCTAGATGGTTAGCAATGCCCTTAATATTAATGTGCTATTAAAGAAGCAGAGTGTCTCCTTCCAGGCAGCTATTTAAGAGAGCTGGAGGAAGAGCCTAAGCTGTGCCACCACCCATCCTGAGGTCGCCAGAGACCTAAGTCACTATTCCTGCTCTGGTGGGAATATTTTGTCAATATATTTTGCATAAATTAAGGAATAACTTAGAACCTTTAAATAGATTTTGTTAGTTCTTCTGAAGATTGCTTGTCTAGCTATGATTTTTGAAATGCATTTAATCCCCATTTCCTGAGATAGTTTCTAATCACCCCACACTGCAGTCCATCATGAAATAGGTTTGCTTTGACTTCTTCCTCATAATGTGCCCTTTTCTGTCACTGGCACAGTCTCTCTATGACCAGTTAAGTTATTGTTTCATCTACGAGTTATCCTTACAAACAAGATTTCCCTAAATCCATCTCTAGTTGTGATATTTGAGGAAGAGTTTATTTGCTTATAAACCAGGATCACAGTTGTTTTCCCTGAGGGCCTTGTAGGCATTCTCCAATATCTCAGTTTTTTGAGTGACGTAATCCCGTATTTTACTTGAGTTTGTATAATGACCTTCAAATAATTCTTCGCCTTTGAATATAGATTCCATGGGGGAGTTTCATTAATTTTTAAAGTTTCTTATATTTTTTTCAAACACTTAATGCATTTCAACAAACTCTAAAATTATGTTTTCACATTTGTTTATTTTTTAATGAACTAAATCATAAAATTATTTTTATATTATTTTGTTGTTATATTTATTTGCAACATGGAATTTATGGTCTCTAGGCTTATCTTTCATAGTTTTCAATTTATCTCTAACCCTTTCAAACATTTTTTCTTAATTTTTTCTTCTGCTCCTTTTAAAGCCTGTCATCCAATGATATGAGTTATATCAGAGCAGCATCTGTTTCCTTCTTTCATCTCCCAGTACGGCCTCTTCTCTTAAACGATTTCATTTCACTTGTGGAAGCTTAGAGCTCTGCCAAGTCATTTTTATGCCTTCTCTTGTCTTCCTATCACTTACTGTGATTCTTTTGTCTTAAAATCTCTCACTTTCATTCTTGTAACTCTGATTTCAAGTCTATTTAACTAAGGTTTTTAATTATTGGTAATCAATTCATTCCTAAACTTATTGGATAATTTAAGTTATGCTCCTCTGCTCAAAGCCAAAGATTCCTTGAATATCAGTCTTGACTTACTTTTTCATTCCATCCATTTTTTATACTTTATAATACTTATTGCACCGGTTATTTTTTTTTTTCAGGTCATTATCATTCAGGTTAATTCTCCTTAAACAGCATAAATTTATGAACATATTTTGGGGATAAATACATGTCAGTGTTGTGCTATAGCAAGAAATATCTCTATGTCAAAATAATGGTTAACACAGCATATACCAAGAGTTGGAGGGACTTATCAGGATTTTCCATAATCTAAGAAAGATCAGCTCCTAAGGGGCTGCTTTTGTGCCCCAGTTCTCACCGACTCAGCGACATCTTCTGGCACCTACTCCTGGGAAGCATGGATGTAGCACAGGGATGCCTGGTACGTTCTTTCTTTCTACCCATAGGGCTGCTCTGTTGCACATGCGTAGGGGTTCCCTGGATGCCAAATAGGAATTTATCTATTCCTAACTTTGTACAGAAGTAAAGTTCTAAGAGTAAAAAACAATGTTCATTTCACACTGAATTTGCCTTGAAATCTAAACCAAACATAATCCCGTGACCAATTCTTGATTAGGTTTCCTAGATCTTCCTTCTCTCCTTGGATACTCCCATGTGCTCTAGATAATTAAATCACTAACCAGTATTCCTTGAGTGTCTCTTGGGCTTGTGAGTTCTCCTGGATACTGGGTGCGTTTGTACCATTAACAGATTCTTGCATTAATCCAGAGCTTCTGTTTTATGTCTGATTGAATCTGATAACTGGACTTTCAATTCTATTGTGAAGTAGGAGCTTGAGAGAAAATTTGTTCAGAGGAGATCTCTGTTTCAATACAGAAGAGGCGTAGTGAGAGGATTGATTGTGAATATATACAGAGGTTTCTCTTAAAAGAGACTTAATTTAAATCAATAATATAGTTCCCCCCAAAAGAAGGAGAGAAAGGGATTCAACAGTAGAGATTGCCAGGGGTATCAAGACTTTTGGGTTTAATAGGAGAAAAGAAGTAACCAATGGATATGAATGCAGGAGTATTTGTAGATATTATAGGGATAAACTGAGTTACTTTGTCATATTATGTAATTCATTTGTAATTCTATGGGCTGAACTGTGTGGCCTGCAAATTCTTATCTTGTAGTCTTTACCCCCAGGATGTCAGAATATAACTTTATCTGGAGATGGGTTCTTTAGAGTGGAAGTAATTTATAGAGGTAATTAAGGGAAGACCCTAATCTAATATGACTGGTGCCCTTAGTAGAAAAGGTAGTTAGGGCACAGACACATAGAGAAGGTAGGGAAAAGACTGCCATCTATAAGCCAAAGAGAGAAGCCTCAGGAAAAAAACAACCCCGCATATACCTTGATCTCAGGCTTGTAGCCTCCAGAAGGAGAGAAAATAAATTTCTGTTGTTTAAGCCACCCAGTTACTGGTACTGGAAAAATGACTTTATTATTTTAGTAAAACATATTATAGTTACTAGATGTCATTGAAAGCCATTTGGAATGGTGATCCTGTGTTTAGACTGGGATCCACACCTTAGCCATGTGCTGCCAGCTGCTGTAGTGGAAGAGGCAGTTGCTACGGGGTCCTGAGCTGATGTGGCAAATAGTCCAAGGGATACAAAACAGGTTGGTCTTGGTAAATGTATGTTGAAATGAGTAATTTAGATGAAACTAGGCAATAAAAATGAAGAGAGATTACGATATTTGGGAAGTGGGGTCAAAAATCTGGAGGTTCCCATGTTGTAGAGAAATGGGTAAAGAAGTGATTTTGTGAAAATGCAAGAAGAAAAAGATACAGTAATAACACAGTGTTTCTGAATATTCATGTTAGAGGTACTATTCCAGGTAACACGTTGGTTGTGCTGTTTGACCCTAAAGGAATTTGACCACAGAGGACAGGCTGTGCAAAATTAAGTGACAGATATTCCATTTTCTAGCTGTGTGACTTTGTCATATTACTAAAGTTTTTGGAACCTCTGCTTATGTCATTTGTTAAATTGGTAAATAAACTATAATTAGCAAGATTATTGTGGGGATTAAATGAGCAAAAATATGTAAATCTGCAAATAAACAGTCATACAATACAAATTTAACTTTTTTTTTTTTCCTAGACCTCAGGTGCAAACAGGTGAGTTAATTATCCTTCTGTTTATGGGGCATTTTCATTATTTATCCATGAAATACATTTAATTATTATTGATATGATAGTGGAGAAATTATAGTTGATAAATATTTTCCCTCTCTCACACAGGTATGTGTGTGTGTGTGTGTGTGTGTGTATATATATATAGATATAGATATAGATATAGATATAGATATAGATATAGATATTTGCATGTACATATACATATACGTACGTGTGTATACATAATGAAAATAAGGGGAGTTGCAGCTGAAGAAGAATAATATAGAACAGGATTTGGAGGATTTCAGCTACCACTTAACTAAACTATCAGATGGAGCAGCTAGATTGTCTCCTAAATCCCAACAATTCCGTATTATCTGATCATCCTTGACCTAGAGGATTGAGACACACATGACAGTAACGTTACGACTCATGTGCTCCTGCTACTTTCTGATGCAGGGAATTTTAAGGACTGGACTGGCGGGATGGATGCCATTAATCCCTGCAAATGGAGTGAGACCTCAAATTAATTAACTCCATCATAAAATAGATTCTTAGTTGCTTGATGTCCAAGTCCATGGGGGACAGATCTGAAAGTCAGGGTTGAGAGAGAGTGGGAACTGAGTGAGGCTCTAGAGGGCTGCCATGGATGTTGGAGGACCATTGCTGATGCATAAGGCAAGAATAATGAAATATGAGGAGTTCCACAATGTATAACTTTAAGTTCTACCGTGGAATGAGTCAGGGATATCTATGCTTTGAAATCAGGAAGGGAATTGAATAACGCTGGATGTCATAGGCTTTTGAAAGACAAAACTCAATGCTTATCATGCTCTTATTAGTAAGATATCTGTATTTTGACTTTCTTTATTAGCAATCACAGCTATAGCTTTCTTACATATGACCCTGGGACAGGAGAGTCCTCTGCATATTATTCTTAGAGTGCATCACTTGTTTCAGTTTTTTGGGCTGGGAGTCACACCCAGGTGAAGGTTGGGGGCTTCATGCCATTGGGGCTGGACATTGTGCACAGGACTGGAGTTTCATGGCTTCTTTTTCCATCTGCAGATTTACCTTCTTAGTGATTGGACTGTCTGTGAATGAAAACCCAGAGAAAGACACCTGGCAACTGAATTATTGACAATGCAGCCACTGGTGAGTAAAGAATGCCTCTTTCTGCTGAAATTACATCCCTAGTTCCATTAGATGAGTAAGTAATTCCTATTGGCATGGATGTTCTAAGTGCAACAAGGTGACATTCCGGCACCTGAGCTCCAGTGAAGTTTGCCCAGAACCTGGGATATTATCCTGGGTCAGGACCTCATCAATAAATAATCTCCTTTCTAACATTACACACGTTTATGATATCCTCCATTAAGCTTGTGTACTTATAGAAGAGACAAAAGAATTTTGCTTTCTTTCACCCAGCCCACATCCTCCTTGGCAAATAATTAACTCATTAACCCTGATTAAGGATGTAATGGGCGTAGGACGGTAGTGCTTGCAAGTGATGAAGTTGAGTGAGAAGCAGAACGTTACAGTCATCAGGGAGGCAGATGTTTAAGCAAGTGAGTGTAACCTATCCAATGTTACAAGACCTGGTGTGAGGGTTGTTCAGTGGTGGGAGGAGCAGGACAGAGGTGTAGAAGGAATGAGGAATTATGTTATTTTTTTTTGCCAATTTTAAACCTCTTGCAATCATGAGAATATATTTACACTTGAGAAAATTTCCGAAATATGTGTAATTAAAATTATCATTATCATTCTTGTCCCCAGTCACACATTTTACTGCTTGGTAGTTAACCAGTTGTTCATATTTGATAGTTGGAAAGAATGTGTAAGGAGTAGTATTTTGTTAATTACACTACACATAAAGGAGAAAAACTGGATAGATTAAAACCAATAATCCTTTTGGATCTTTTATCCTTTGGCAGGAGATAAGATAAAGATACAAGAGAAACAGTGGTAACTGGTGTTTGAGGTCACTGAGAAAATTGAGAAGGTCAGTCCTTATGCCACAGGAATGGTCAAGCTAAGACTATCCTTCAGTACAGACGTCACAGAGGAACCTGGCTTGTGCTGCTGAACCATCTGACCTTACAGTTTGTTATGAATTCCTGAGTCCTGTAGCAAGAGAGAAAACAAGTACCGAGTTCTGAATGAATCTTGTTCAGTTGTGAGGAATGCTGGAGATTCCTTCACAATTCTCTGACATTTTAATGATTAACATATTAATATGTTGTATTTAATGCAGGTTTGCTAGACAGGAAACACTTCATACATTAATACATTGGATCTTTCAACACTCATAACAAGTTTTTAAACCAGTTCACAGACAAGGAACCAGAATTTCATAGAGGGACGTAATTTAAACCAATCGTCATGGGTTAAAAGCAGCACATCATAGTTCTTGTTTGTCTTGTGACGGATCTGTAGCGTTGCTTGAAATTAATGGGGAAGAGAGTTTCATTGATGTATTTTCAAGTGGCTATTTTATAATCATCTGTCTGGAAGTCCTAATTACCAGGCGATTGAAACGCTTCCAGGTTGTATTACACCACACATAATGTGGTATTCCTCTATAATAAAATATTATGAAGTCAGAGTGTGTAGGTCTCTATGAAGATGTCTGAAAGGCGAATACCAGCTCAGCACTGACAATAAACTGAGTGGACCCCCAAACACAGATTGACCTTTCCATACTCCCAGATCCCCATTTCTTACACTGAGCTGTCATCTCAACCCTCCAACCCTGGGCATTGGTAGGGATTGCTCTGTCTAAACCAGTATATCCGTGTTTTAGGAATCAGTGATGTTTGAAGATATAGCTATAGACTTTGCCAAGGAAGAGTGGGTCTTGCTGGACACATCCCAGAGAAAGCTGTACAGAGATGTGATGCTGGAAAGTAGCAATCATCTGGTCTCTGTGGGTGAGTTTGTCAACATGAATGTGTCTATGTGTCCATTCATTCCCTCATTGAACAAACATCTAGAACAGCTTCTCCATATTCCACTCTAATTGCTGCCCTGAATCTTTCATAACCTTCATAACTACTTCAAAGGAAGATTTTTCTGTACACTTTACTTTTCATCACCACACTAGTATATAATCTTGACCACAATTTACTGCCTTTCTTTCTACTCAGTCTCGAACACTCAGAACAGAACTAGGAATTCAATTAATATTTTTAATGCATAAGTAGTTTATCAAATATTTTTAAAATAATAATTGTGTTCTAGTCGCTATATGGAAGCTTTGGAACAGAGTAGTGAAAATAATAAAATTTTGTTTATTCTTGTAAAGTTTATGTTTATTGCATGCTGATTGAAAATATCTTAAACAAACTGTGGAGACATTTAATCTCTTCCATTTTGAAAAGACAGGATTCTGCATTCTGTCTTTGAAGTTGGGCATGGGCATCAGCATCTAGCAGTCTCCACTGTTTTCGCTTTTGGTCTGGATTTCTTCCTGGTCTGGTGAAAGCCCTTCAGTGTTTTCTCTGTTGAATATGTTGTTGCAAAGGCTGACCTTCAATCTTCTCTTTATTATTCCTCAGTAGTCTGTGCTGGACTTGATGATAGCAAAGTTTAATTAGCACAGAACTCACAATCCACGTACATTTTTTCCCACAAACAGGCTATCAGATCTGAAAATCAGGTGTGATTTTCCAGTTGGAGCAAGGCAAAGAGCTGTGGAGTCAAGGAAGTGGATTTCTCCAACACCAGAGTCCAGGTAAGCATCAGGGACCTGTGCTTCAATGCAGAGAGATCTCGGTCAGTGAGTGAATACATCCCTGGAAATACCATCTGAAGAAGTTTGAAGTGAGTAATGTAGCCTGAAATGTCAGTGAGGACATTGGGGCAAGGTTCCTCATGTTGTTATCATTCCTTGCATATAACAATCACAATTCATGTCTTACTGTCATTTTCTTTCTCTTTAGTGAAAAGGATATTTGTGTAATTATTGTAGTTAAAATTTAACATAGTGATTCTTGTCCTGATCCACTCATTTAAAAATTTTCCCACCATTTGCTGACCCAACATCACTTAGTCACATACTGTTTTTCATGTTTCAATCCTGATTTTTTTTTCTAATTGACAACGTCCTTTAAAATGTTTCTACTACCTAGAATATTTCTCTATTTGACACATTTCCCCATCTAATTGCAATATTTTGAAACATACTCAAATGAGCCTTGTGATTTTTCTACATTTTCATCCCCTAATGCTGTTCTAATATATTACATTTTTTTCAATGACTTTAGGAAGGGAAAATCTCCTTAAAAAACAAGAAATGATATCAATGAAATACAGCAGCATGAAGAATATATCTCTTACCATGCCAATGGTAAATTTCATGGGTGTGAACTCTAGTCATCCAAATTGAGGACCTTTCAATGAGATGAGTTAGTAAATGTGCAGAATCTCCTGAATGTAATTAAGGTGGGATTAAGCACTATTTAGGCAAAAGTTTTGGATTGTTTGAAATCAGTTAAGAAATTAACATGAGCTCAAAATAATGACCTGAGATCTAAAAAAAAAAAAAAAAAAAAAGACAATTACGTAAACATTGTTCATTACCTTGTCTTTGAAACATATTGAAGGCTTCAAAATTAATCTGACAACTCTGGATTTGAGAGACTGCAAAAGAGAAAATATTTGTCCCTCCAGGAGAGTAACACAACTTGTGTATGCAACTAATATTGGAAATACTTTAACAAGAGATTATTATTGACTTATATTCTAGGATTTATATGTAGAGGAATGAATGTATGGATATATGTGCGCAAACTATTAACAACCTTTCATCTCCTTCCCCAAAGCAGGTATCTCACACTCAAGTAGATCCTACTGAATGTATTGATGTGGTTGGTGAATTTACTCCTAGATCTTCATTGCCTCAACACTTTTCAATTCACGTGAGAATGAATCCTCCTGTCCACAAATTGCGTGGAAAATCTCTTCATGATCAGTCAACCCTTAATCAAATTCACACTAGGGGTGTATCTCGTGAATGTAATCTATGTGGGAAAGCCTTTAATAATTTGTTTAGCCTTAGATCACACGAGATGATTCACAGTGGATAGAAACCACATAAATGTCATCTGTGTGGGAAAGTCTTCAGTCAAAGTTCTTACCTCAGACAACATGAGAAAACTCACACAGGAGAGAAGCCATACGAATGCCATCTATGTGAAAAAGCTTTCAGCCAAAGTTCTTACCTAGAAAACATGAGAGAATTCATCCTTGGAGAGAATCGTTATGAATTTCGTCAGTGTGGAAAAGCCTTTAGTCAAAGCTCTGGCCTTAGCCAGCACAAGAGAATCCACACAGGAGAGGAACCACGTACATATCTTCTATATGGGAAGGACTTCTGTCAAAGTTCTGAACTTAGACGGCATAACAGAACACACTCAGGATAAAATCCATATGAGTGTCATCAGTGTGGGAACGCCTTCAGTCAATATTCTAATCTTAGATGACATGAGAGAACCCACACTGGAGAGCAACCATATGAATGCCAGCTATGTGGGAAGTTCTTCAATCATCCTTCTTCCCTTAGACGACATGGGGAAACCCAACACTGAGGAGGAAGTCATGAATGCCTTCAGTAAATATTCTGATGTGAGATGGCATGGGATTAAAAATGTAATGAATGTGGGAGAAACATCAATCATAGATTTAACATTTAAACACACCAAAGGACTCACACAGTAAAGAAACACTCTGTGTAATCAATATGGAAGAGCCTTCAGTCATCATACTCCTTAATCAAGATAGCGTGTTCATATGGAAGTGGATCCATATATATAACATTAATTGGAAAAGCCTTTAGTCATTGGCCTGACCTTAGATAATATCGCAGAACTCACACTAAATATAATGAAATAGATGTTTTCAGCAAGAGCTCTAAACTTTAAAGACACTAGAGAACTTGTGCAGCAAAGTTCTTTGGTTCTTTGTTAATAATTATTATTAAACATGAGCAAACCCCACATGGGAGAGCTCCTAGGTCTGTAATCACTGTGAACAAACAGTCAGCCAACTACCAATTTTGGTGTGCAAAGAAAACTCGGTGAAGGAATAAATGATAAACAGGAAATAAGAAGATGAAGTTTCTTGATGAATACCAAAGTATCTTGAGTAATACTAAATAATTCTTACAAATAATTATTAGTGGAGAGATTAATCAACATAAAATCATAAGAAATCCTTTATTCCTAGAGCAACACTTGTACTATAGTGTTGATTCAGACTGTACCAAACACTGTGTGTCATGAATCAAGGGAAGCCTTCAGTGATCACTTATTTCTTAGTCAACATTAAGATCCTCACACCGAGAAGACAGCAATCCTAAAATCAATGTGGAGAAAACCACAGCTAGATTTCATATCAGAAAAAATGTATAGGGGTGTGTGTGTGTGGTGGGGAAACCTCTAATAAAATCCTTTAAGAAAATTCAGCAAATAAGTGAGATTTTGCGAAAATACTTATTTATGTAAATGTGGCATAAAATGAAAAGTGAAGTGATCTGGCAATACTGAACGTAGACTTTTGTAAGAAAATCAATTTTTAGATAGGTCAATACTTGCAAATATTCAAACAATAAAACTTGTTGCTAAAGAAGCTAACGGTTGGTGTTCTAGTTTCCTTTTTGCAGTTCTAAACACACGGATTCAGGTCTACTCTCCTTGGCATGTGGACAGAGATTCAGCCCCCTCTCTGGGTCTCTCCTTTCTCCAACAGCTCTTTCCACACACTGTAGCTCCCTGATTCCATCTTCCCTTGAACACCATCAGTCTCCCTTCAAGCCCTGGTGGTGACGCAATTGCGATCTTCTGCCCCACTTTCCAAGTTTCTCAGCGTGCCATGAACTTGATCAGGCAAGGTCTGAGGTGAGGGGAGCAGTATCAATGACATGAAGTCTAAAATCTTTGGTGGACCCACAGCCTATGTCTCTGCTTCTGGGAACAACCTGGGGCCATAGAGACAGGCAGCTCTGCCCTCCAAGCCTGCAAAAAGCTCCTTGGATTTTGTCCCAAAACCTCTGAATTGAGCTAAGTGGGGGCAAGAGTTAATTCCATGATCAAACTTTATATATTCTTTAGGTGATTCCTCATTCATGTGCCCACCAGGGACCCCAGATAGGACCATTGCTATGCTCTCCCCCACACAGCAGCCCAGAAAATATAGCTCCAATAATATAAGATCTGAAACCTACCATCCTCCACATAAGCCCTCTTGTTTAACAATTAATGCAAAGTAGTTTTCCCCAAGCAAAATGAATGTTCTCACAAAAAGGATCTCCCCCTTTGTCTACAGGGCTTGGAAATGTCACTCTTTCAATAAACACCAATACTGAACTGAAACATGAAGGGAAAATGCTACTAGAATATCCACTGAGATGACCTGTCCTCTTGCCAGATTAGCACAATTCAAAACCGAAGGCTTAAATAATTCCAATTAAATGAGCACATCCCTGGAAGAAAGTGAAACATTATTATTTTTAAAAATTTCCACAAGTGATTCTGCTGTATAGTCAGGGTGAAAAATATCAAGTCATGAGTGAGGATGATGAGAAACCAATTCTATTGTCTGCCTAAGTCAACACATGTTCTACCCCCTGTAGTTGACTTTAGCTGTGATCCTGGGTGACCACTTTATTTGGGACCCATCTGGTGGCTTACCCAAGAGTCACCGCCTGTGTCCTAATATGTCTCCAGGAAGGAATGGGCAGGTCCCGGTACCTGTTGGGGTTTGGGTCTGTGCTAGTTCTGGGACTCCCTAGGGACTCTCTAGGAATGTACACACTCTCTTCTCAGAGGAGCTCACGACCCAGTTGGATTTATCTACAGTGACCTATGTATGTATGCTGGGCAGTTGTGGTGAGACCAGGGGATTTCAGGGCTGGTTGTACACAGTTATGACCGCAAGGTGGCAGAATCACACAAGAATTATTCAGGTGGCACACTGACAGCTTGACAGAGTGGGGCAGTCCTTTACAGGATGACACCTTCCAGTGGCAACAGTGTGAGGCCACCATCCAGAAAGCTAGGATGACAAAGAACTCCCAAAGCGAGAGGGGTTGGAGAGGGGGCCACTTGTCAAGATAATGTCTCTCAACAGCAGTAAGGAGAATCTCTGAGTCAGAGAACTACTGGCAGATAGCAGGAGTTCAGAGACGTCTATAGTTCATAATTTATCTTATCTATGGCTGGGAGATTTTGGATGATGTCTCACAGGGTATGCACAGTAGGCAGGCTTTAAATGACTTAAAATCTACTAATTTGGGCTGCATTTTAAACAATTCAGTGTGTATGAATTTGAGTTTGGCACCAGTGGGCCTTTGATCTAAGGATCCTGTCTGCTGTGAAGAAGTAAATGGCATAGGCCGAATATGCTGGGAACATCTGTGGCTCATCTATCAGCCATGACTGATCATCTCGAATGATTTGCCTTTGTGTTCACCGATGAAGCTCTCAATTGATGCAGAAAAAGTGTCTGACAAGAATAAACACCTATATTAATAAAAGCCTTCACCAAACTGGTGATAGAAGACAACTTCCTCAGCATAATAAAGACCACGTATGAAAACACAGCTAGTATCAGATTCATTGTTGAGAGACTAGATGCTTTTTTTTTTCAAGGCAAATTTATTGAATTTCACCGTTTCTAGTCCACACAATAGTAGAATTTCCAGCCTGAGAAAATAGGCAAGAAAAAGAACTAAAAGACATCCAAATGGAAAAGGAAGAACTAAAATTATTTCTCTCCACAGGTCACCTGACCTTTTATATACAAAAGCCTAAACGTTAAACACATGTACACACACTCACACACATAAACACACACTGTTAGAGGTAATGGTTTTCAAGGTTGCTAGGTACAAAGTCTGCACAAAAATCAGTTGCATTTCTATACACTAACAATGAACAATTAAAAAAATAAATTAGGAAAACAATTCAATCCATGGAGACAATGTTCACTTGTAACAACTAGGATATAAGAGACAGACATGGCTATATATGCCTCACCTTGCCTCTTTCATTCTCAGAATTTCTTCTTATTCTTTGCCAACTTCAATTTGTTTACAAAATGATGGACAAGAAGCTTCAAAGGAGATTATTCAAGGAAGGTTTTGTCTCAACAATCCTCTTTTTTTTTTTTTTGATACAACAGAGCCAGCTGAAAATTCTATGGGAAATACAATAATCTGTGACAGGATCATGACTTCTGTTTTTCTGTTAATAAATATCACCTTAAATTTGACTAAATAAACTAATTATCTGCTGCGAAAATACAGATCAAAAACGAAGAATAGGAAAACCACAAAAATGGAAAACCTCACTGTAGTGAAGGCTGACAAAGGACATAATGTGTGCTGCTCTTGTGGAAATTAAAGGGATTAATGAATGAGTTAATAAAATAAGAAGTGGCTGGTTTACCATCACCTTGGAAACCTCAGTCACTGTGCTGGGACAGGGCATCAGAGGGGCAGATCTGTGGCAAAGGTGTCAGGGACAGGGGCAAGAGCACCACCAGGCTAAGCAGCACCCTGCCGGGCTTCTGCGACCCCTGCTGCTCTCTGAACCCTGAGCTCAGAGACATGTTCGGGGTTTCTGCTCTTCCAGCCAGCACTGTGACCTTGGAAAGGTCATTTGACACTAAATGAATTCACCAATGAACTGGAGATATGTCCAGACTGGACAGGGCACATAGTCAGTGGGACGGAGGAGGGAGGACCTGTAGGCTGTGTCTCCTCAGCTGGAGGGAGGCAGGGCCCACTGGATGAGGAATTCCCAATGCAGTCAAGTGGGTAGGGACAGGCATGATGTCACAGATGCCTCATTTTGACACGTACAGCACTTCAGCCTCGGATTGGCTGGGCAAGTGGCAAGGGCAGGATAGACATACAGGCCCCAGGGCCTGACCCTGGACTGAGTCTAGGGGGAGGAAATCTCTGGTTCCTGCTCCCTCTGCTGCCCCTTCTTTCCCGACCGCCTCAATGCCCATCCAGCTGAGGAGACCGCCCTGACCCGTGCTCCTCCTCTGGGTCTCGGCACAGACTCAAGCCTTAACCCTCCTATGCGTGTCTTCCTTCCCTACCCTGGGGCAGGTAAAGAAAGAGAGTAAAAACATGCCGAGCCCTTTGGGTTTGGGAAGAAAATGCCAAAATCTACTTGATAAGGGGAAAGTGAAAATAGGAACCACATCACAAGGATGGACAAGGCCCTGAGCTCCATGACTCTAGTAGAAATTATGGGAAATCCCAGAAAGCGTAGGGAACTTGGGCCGACAAGTGGAATGGAAGTGCAGGTGTGAAGGAGAGCACTGTGGGGAGAATCTGTAGGCAGAACAGCAGAGGAGGAAAAAAAAAACCTTGGAAAGGGCAAGTACCACATTTTTCTAGGAATTTTTACAGTGTTGAAAAAGATGCAGAGCTTTTCCATCTGAAATGGAGCAGAGTTCAGGTGGGCACAGGCAGGATGAACAATGGAGAAAGTGGTAGCAAGCAAGTGCTCACTGCAGGTAGCACAAGTCAGAAAGGAAAGTATAGATAAATTGTTGGAACAAAATCCAGATTCCTAATGGGCAACATCATCAAAGATTCTGGATCCACAAGTGGATGAGAGAAAGCCATGTTAACCGCTGACAACCCCCTTATAGTGTATTTTCTTCACTGAAGTGTGAATAAGCATGAGTCCAGCACTAACCCT